AATTCCCCAATAAAATCTTAAAAAAAAAAAAATAGGATGACCTTAAACTGAAATCTGCTTTAATTAGTAAAATATAAAAATCACCAAAAATATTCATGATTATCACGAACACAACACCTTTAGCAACAGATGTGGTACACATACAGGGGAATGGGAAAGTGAACACGTACCCTTCTCCTCCACCATCAGGGATTCCCAGAAAACACGGTTTCATTTCGGTAGATCCTTGATTGCTGTTTATAATCCAGAATGCACCATGGAGGCCCAAGTGGCAGGGTCACTGGTTGTCTATACTCAGGAATTGGGCCCTTATGAGGAATTTTAAGTCTCACCAAAAAGGTTTCTCTTAATGCAAAAGTCTGATAATGGCCTCTTGTTACGTGAAATTCCATCAACTTGGCATGCATTCGGGTGAATGGGTTTTTTTTTTAAATGCAAATGCCAAATGTAAGATTAAATCCTATTGCTTTCATCATAATTATTAAATGAGCCTGATGGGCTGAAGGACTGGACAGATGTTTGAGGTTTGGAGATCCTCAAGAGGTAGGAGAGGGGCCGGCCGAGTGACAACTAAGAGTTGGCTTAAGAGTGCAAGCTCTGAGCAACAGAGATGCCAGTTCGATCCCCACATGGGCCAGTGACGCTGCGCCTGAGCTGAGCTGTCGCTGAGCTGCTAACAGGTAGCAGGATGGCTCAGCTGGTGTAACAAGATTGCCTGTTTGATGGTTGGCTACACCCACCCGCAACTAAGTCTGAACTTGGCACCTTGAGCTGCCGCCCAGATGGCTCAGTGGATAGAGCATGAGCTCTTAACAACAAGGCTGCTCGTTTGACTCCCGCATGGGATGGTGCCTATGTCCACCCACAACGAAGATTGAACACAGCACCTTGAGCTTAAAGGCTACAAGCTGCCGACGGGAAGCCAGATGGCGACTGGCACCCTCCACAACGAAGACTGAAGAACAACTTGGCCAGTCCCCTTCTCCAATTCCCCAACACTTCTCCTTCCCCAGTTCCCCAATAAAATCTTTTTTAAAAAAAGAGAGAAGCTGCCCTTATTCCCAAGCCCTGTGTCCTCTCCCTGTTTATCATTGTTTTTTCCAGCCAGTCTTAGCAGCTGCTGTCTGCTGTAGAGATCTGCTGTGGAGACCATAAACTCATGACATACAGGCATGCCACAGGCCACCCCACTTGTTACTCTTGTCCCACTCCCTTTCCCACTGCCTGAGAAGACTGAGCCATGCCTCTCAGTCTCCGTTCCCACCCCAAGGCCTGACACTGTATGGAAGACATCAAGGTTCCTGCACAGGGTTCCTCCCCTCTTAGTATCCACACACTCTGCTAGCTACATCCTGGGTCTTGTCAGGGAGACAGAGCAGCCTGGTGGTTAGAAACACAGCTTTCGGAGTCAAACAGACCTGGCGTCAGATCTCTACTGCACCACTTATTACCTTGCTTGATATTAGAGCAAGTTTCTTTCTCTGCCTAAGCCTCAGTGTTGTCATCTGTAAATGGATGAGTTGCTCCCACCCCACAGAGTCTCTTCACTGCATATAAAAGGCTTGGTATGGGTTAAGCACTCAATAAATGGTAGCTGTTGATGGAGCTGTAACTATAGCTTCATTGACATTTTAAACTCAAATATCTCCTTTTGAGCACTCTACTCATCCATTCCGCAGCTTGCCACATCTGTTCTGCAACCTCACTGAATCCCACAGTCCAACAAACTTTCCCATGTGAAACACAGCTGCCCACTGCCCTGGGGTCGCACACTTCAAAATGCATAACTTTAGAGTCTGTATTTCCTTCTAGGTTTCTCAGGAAGACCTTGAGGTCTCGCCCTTTCCTGGGTCAAGGTGGGCGGGGTCTGTTACAGGAATGGAACTGGGCTAAGACAGGAGATATTGTAGAGAAAAGATGGACAGAGGCAGGCTGGAAGTTGAGCTCCGCCCTCTCTCAGGAGAAGCTGCTATTTTAGCATCTGTTACTTCATATAAACTTTTAGAGCAGATATTCTATAAAATGGCTTTTCCAAGGTCCAGGGTCACCATTGGTTTGATTGGCTTTTAGTGAATTGTTTCTAACACAATTATTTTGTCGCAGCCATAATTTGGATTGACGCCCCGTGCATGAATGAGGAGGAGGAGGAAGGTGCAGAGTTCTTGTTCTCATCGGTCCTTAATAAGTAGGGAAGAAATTCACATTAAATGACTCATCCAAGGTCACACATGTGATAAGTGGTAGAGTCAGCATACCAAATGTCTGCCTTTTAAAACTGCCCAGTATCTCTGCCCCCACTTAACCCTCCAGCAGCACCCTCCTCCCCCCACCATTCTACCACTCAACAACAAGAGGATGCCTCAACCCCATCCTACCGTCAACCAGCATGGTCAGAAAATGTCCCATTTGGGATCCCGAATCAGACCTTTGGAGCCCTTTTCCAGAATTTTCCCTTTTAGAAGGAGGTGGGGTAACGCTCTGTTCCCGTCATCCTTTCCCCCGAGAGCCTTTTCCTTCCCACCTCCTGCCCCTTAGCATTCCTTTTCCAGTAGCCCCTGACTTTGTATATCTGCTTACTGGTTTGCTCCCCACCATTAATTAGAAGGTGACCCTCACAAGGGTAGGGACTTGCCCTTGTAGTATCCTCTGACCTTTTTCGTGCTTTGTACGTATCAGGCATTCACACATTACATATTGACTGAATGACTGAATTGTATTGGTCAGAAGCTGAGAATGTGATGCCAGAGCAATTGGTGCATGGCATCTCCCCCTCCCCCTACCCTCCCTCTTTACCACAGCCTGCCTGCCAAGAGACTGAGGAAGGAGGAGGCGGCAGGGGCTGTGTGCCTGAGGCCCCAGCTCTACTCCTCCTCCTGTGTTTGTACCGCGTGGCTTCAGGACACCCTCATTCTGTCCTAAACCAGTTAAGGTTGAGTTTGTCATGTGCCTGGTCTCAGTGCTGCCAGCCCACAGCTGTATGCAGCTGCTCAGAGCCTGTTGAAGGCAGTGGGGCACACTCGTCGAAGGCATAGAGACTTGAGTCACGTGACTACTCTGCCACATCCAATTTGTATCCCCTTGACAAAGTTTTATAACCTTTCTGTGCGTTGGGCTTATTGTCTGTATAGTGAAAATGACCTCATGTGGTGGTTTCTAGGATTAAACGAGATAATCCATGTGAAATCTTTGGCATAGGTGAAGTACATGCTGCATATTCAATTGAAGCTGGCTGTTGTTATGTATAGTACTAAATAAATGCTTTTTATTCTGTTCATGTCACATGGTCACATGTCTCTAGGTTGCTAGGTCTGCTTCCTCTGTTTCCCTTGCTGCTCCCCATCTGGCACAGGTCGTTGATGGGAAGCAGCTTTGAGGGAGGTACGAGTGGACACCCAGGAGGTTTGGGTGGGAGTTCAGTCTGTAATTCTTAGTTGTTTCCTATAGAGGGAGGATGCTTTGCTATGAGGTTTCTGTGAGTTTATTTTAGTTTGCTCCTGGTGGTTTCCACAGGGGAAAGTAATTCAGAGGGATTAAGTGTCACCACTGAGAATTTACCTGACTCTCTCCCTCCAGGAAGCAGAACTCTGACCAGCGAGGATGGAAAAGGGCAGCATCTGAAATGTGTGCTAGGAAGTGAGTGGTCCAAGGCTGAGTCTTATCTTTGGTGGCTGCAAGGGACAGGACTGGACCAGAGGGTAGCCACTGGGGTCGGGTTTTAGTTCCTTGTAAAAGGCAATGGAAACAGTTCCCCCAACCTTCACCGCCTCCTCAAGGCAGTGCACTGAGTGCTGGCAGCGCGTGGCCCCTAAGCTATGCTCCTACCAGTTGGATAAATGGCAAACTCAATAAAATAATTTTTTGTGAGTAAGTAATCTGTGTAAGACAATGAAATAGGAAATGCCTTCTATGAAAAACATTTGAATGTTACAGAACATAATAAGAGTTGCAAAAAGTTTTTGTTGTTGTCAAATTTGGTATTGGCAAAACAGCTGTAAAAGATGAGGGGAAAATGTCTCTGCTGGATGGTCTCTGCTCAAGCTGCTTTCCAAGTAGCAAGTTCTTGCTCTCCTTTAAAGACAAAGAAACAAGAAATCACAGAGAACACCTTTGAGCTGGAATTAACGCAGGCAAACAGACAGGAACCAGCAGGGTCAGAGGACAGCGTTACACAGTGCCAGAGGCTGGCACATAAATGCATATTCATAGCCTAAAATGTTTGTGGTATGTAGTATTTTTACTATATATTATTATAATTACATATTAATCATATATATTACCATAGTATTACATATATAGTATTTTTTAAATGAATTTCCTACTTTAATTGACTATTCCATCAACCAACCAACTACTGATACAGATCAGGTGAGGGTTTCTACTGTCCTGGCAAATGGAGTTGTCCAGTAGGTTTTGTTGACTCCTACTAGACTGGTCTGTCAGCTTTGTTTCGTAAGACCAGAAATATAACATAAGCTATGTTAATAATTATGTTAATAACACTGTTACCAAAATAACCTGTATCTTTGGATTCCATTTCCAATGGAATATCTTCTTATAGTCAAACTGACCTTTCAGATTTTTAATTACATGGCTTTTACTCTGCCTTCTAAATATTGTGTGGGCATAATTGAAATTGTGGGTTGCTCTGGTTTAGCTGGAGCTCAAAGACAACCAACCAGGGTTGATATGAGCAGAGTCCAGATGAAGGGAGTGGAGAACAGGAGTGGGGAAGGCTAGCTGGGAAGTGGGAAGGCCAGGTGGGAAGTGGGAAGGCCCTCCTGAACCTTGGGGCTTACTATTTGAAACGTTTTGACCGATAGTCATCAGGCACCTTTATCCAAAGATGAGAACAAAGGCAGATCTTCTAAAGTGTGGTGACTTTTTAATTTCATATTTCCAGTTAATTGTTACCTTCTGCTCAAATTGATGGTTGAGAATTTATTGCACTAATGCAGTAGCAACCCACAACCTAAAAATGTCTGGTTCTCTTGTTTTCACAGGTGTTGGGGCGATGTTTCTTGACCGTGGTGCAGGTCCATTTCCAGTTTTTGACCCAGGCGTTACAGAAGGTCCAGCCAGTGGCTCACTCTTGCTTTGCCGAGGTAGTTGTGCCAGAAAAAAAGAACAGCAGCAGTGGCGGCAGCTTATCTGGCATGGGCCACACACCTGAACTGGAGGAAGCTGTGCGATCCTGGCGGGGGGCTGCTGAGGTAACCCTGACTTTGGGGGAGATTGCTGCCCTGTGTTCAAGCAGGAGAGGCTCCTGAGGGCCTCTGCCTGTTGGTTCTTAAGAGAGCCTTTTTATTTAGAAATGTGAGTTTTAAACTGTTATCAGTAGCTTGTTCATTCATTTAACAGTGAATGTCTTTGTAAATGCCCACTTTGTGCCAGGCATGCACCAGGCACTGGGGTGACAGCCTGTCCTCACAGCCTCCTCGGAGAAAGGGCTTACAAAAATGGTTAAGGGGCTGTGATAGAGGCATGAGGAAGGGGCTGCCTCCAACCAGGATCAGTGCAACAAAGCTTCTAGGAAGAGGGACCAGGGAGAAAGGCCAGGCAGCTAGAGGGTATATAGTTATGTAGTTGTTGACAACACATTTCTTGTAGACATTTTAATACTCCTTTGTTTCCAAGGCAGGGAAAAGAGCCTTTTAAGTCGAGACTTTAGCACTTATTTTTCTTTTTACAAAGTAAAAGGTAATTTATAGTTAAGGAGTAATATATTGACTTGTTATATAATACGTAGTTTGAATCATTCCATAATTTTATTAATGAAGTATTTCATTTTATGTTTTAGACGTATCCTTTAATCAGTTTTTCTTTTTCTTTTTCTTTTTTTTTCTTTTCTTCTCTTTTCTTTTCTTTTCTTTTTCATCCCTCCCTCCCTCCCTTCTGTCCTTCCTTCCTTCCTTCCTTCTTTTCTGTCAGTCCCGACCTGGCCTCTTATTTATATCCTTAGTTACAGAGGTTCTGTTCGGCTAGTCTTCAGATGGTTCTCAAGGTTGACTGTTCCCTAATTTAGTTGTAATTTTAATGTGGTCATGGGAGGCGACAGGCACAGTGTTTACCTATTCCGCCATTCTTTTTCTCTCTCCTTTAGTCAAATTTTTAAATGTGATTTTGTTTACATTTTACATTCTCTAATTTCCATATTTCAGTTGTGTGCTCTTCTGCTGCATTGTTGTTAATTCTTTTTAATTTCTTTTCAGTTTTTTCCGTTTGCTTGTTTGTTTTGGTCTCTCTTTCATGTTAAGGGCTTTCCATGGCTTTGTTGGTGTTTATCAGAGCAGCCCTGAAATGCTAATTGGGGGCTGAATGTGGGAGTGGAACCTGTTGACTTTATTGCAGGTGGCTGGCCAGTGGGGTCCAGACCTTTTGTCTTGTCATCTTACAATCCTCTATGTCCTCCTGGCTGCTGGGCTTCAGCCTCCTGATAATGCAGCTCTCATTCATCCACTGTCTTCTCCTCTCCACCTGTTGGCACCATTTCTGCTGAGAACCCAGTCGACGTGAGGCGTCCTGGTGGTCCTTTGACCTCCTCACCTTGACCTTCTCATTCACCCACTTCGGTCTGCCCAGGCCTTTCTGCCCACTTTACTTTGCTTCCAGCCAATGCCCCTACCCCACACTATGCTGAGAAAATAGAATTCACCCAGCTGCAAGCAGCTCGTCTTCCTCACGTCACCAAAATGACACCCCTCCTCCCATTCAGACCCTCTTCTCTTCCTTCCCCTTCATTATAGCGAAGGAGGGGCCCTCTCCTCCTGTCCAGGGCCTGCCCTGTCCCCACCCTTCCCCACCCTCAAAGTTTCTGTGGTGGGACCCTATATTTTCTCTGCCTCCTCCTCAGCATGCTCTCACCAGCACACAAACATGCTTACAAACCCCAAATCTGCCGTGTCCTGCCCTGTTTCTCTGCTCTTTTAATAGCCAACTTCTTGGAAGGATTGTCCACCTTTGATTGATTCTAAAAAAATTATGAAACATTTCAAGCATATAGGAAATGTCACACATATCCATTCATTTTCCTTTAACTTTGTCAAATGAATCTTAACTTTTTGCCATATTTGCTTCATGCCTTTTCTTTATCACAAATACTATTACAAATGCAGATGAATCCTTTTTGTACCTCTCCACTGTCTTCTTCACATTCCTTCCCCTCTAGAGATAACCTCTTTTGACTGTAGAGTTTGTGACTCCTGTGCATATTTTTATATTTTTGCTCTATATGCATATATCCATCAATAATATACGATGCTATTTTACACAGTATGAAACTTTATATGAATGGCACCATTCAGCTCACTGAAATATGGCTTTCACTCCTACACAAGAACATGCCTTCTCTTGTCAAGGTCACTGCTGCTTTCTCCGTTGCCAAATCCAGGGAACCCTTTGACTCCATTCAGCAGTTCCCAGCAACGTGAGAGCTTGGAAATCCTCTCTTCTTGTGACATTTCTGAACCAGCCATGCTCAGTTACCCTCTTACTTCTTGGGCCATGTTCTCCATCTATTTTGCTAGCTTCTCCTCTTCAACACAGCTTCCGAATGTGAGTTTCTCAAGGCCCAGTTATAGGTGCCTTTCTCTCTAGGGAGTCTCCGTCTAGTCTTGGAACTTGAAAAACCACCTGTGTGCTGGGAACTTTCAAAGCTGTGACCGGTGCACTTCTGTGGGCTCCAGGCCCTTGTATTCAGCTTCTGCTTACCTCAGGTGTCCAGGTGGCTCAGGCTTAACTTTTCCCCACACACCTGTTCCCCCCACTAAATCATCCCCATGCTGGCAAGTGGTGCCATTCCACACTGGGTCACTCCTGCCGGAAGCCTGAGGTTCATCCTCCAATCTTTCTGTCACATCTACATCCAGTCCATAAGAAAGGTTTGCAGGTCCCACCTCCAAAATAGCCTAGACCTGTCCCTTTCTCTCCATGTCCACTATCACTACCCTAGTTCGGAGAGTCATTACTCTTCGCTGACACCTGTCGTGGCTGGACTCCTTCTCCCTTCTTTGTCTTGCCATCCTTCTCTCTCTGTTTAAAATTGGGTGCTATTATTCCCCACTTCCTTAGGGTAAAGTGGGGACCTCTCACCATGACCTTGCCGAGTCATATAGCCTGGCTCCTACCTTGCTTACCAGCCGTATCTGTGACCACTCTCCCCCTTGCTCAGTTGGTTCTAGTTTTTTTTGCCAACATGTCTGCCTGTCCTGCCCGCGCCCCTGCCCCCACTGCCATTGATTACCTCCTCATCCTTAAACTTTCAGCCTAAATGCTGACTTCTCCATGTCTCGGGTGCTCCCGTTTCCCTCAGTGTGTTTTTCTCCACTTTTAATTTTTAAATGTTCTATTTGTTTGCCTTTTTGGCCCATGAGGCTGTCAGCCCCAGGATGGTAGGGACCAGGTTTTGTGCTCCACTGTCTATCCAGTGACACCGAACATAAGACCTTGGAGGCTAAATATTGGACTGAATGAAAGATTCTTAGAAAGAGAGTCAAATGATTTTAAACTGTGAGACTGTCAGGGTTCAGGGAATGGTTGGAATGGTATACGTACATACTTTGTGAAGCTTTGGAACTTTATGGCATTATAGTTACTAGTTACTTAACTGTAGCCCTGCAATTTTGGTAAACATGAAAACTCCTTCACTGGCCTAGAAGAACAAAGTAACTGTTGAAAAATGTTATTTGATGCACAAATATTATTGCAACAAAAATAGACATTAAAGAATTGAGAATTCATCCTGAAGCCCTCCTCCTAATTAAATATATATTTCTATATTTTCTAGTCCTGAACCATATGTATAGATAACTTACATTTTATCACAAGACACAGATTAGTTTCTTCTTGCTTTTCTATCCTGTGTGTGTACTCTTCATAAACAAAACGACTGAACAATAAGTATTTAATTTTTCTGTGCAGATTTCAAAAGCTCTGTTTTTCCTTTAATGTTCCAATGTTCGTTTGTTTTCTCCTTTTCTGTATTGGTGTGGCTTTTCACTTTGGTATATAGGCACACCCAACCGTGTACATTCCTTTTTTAAAAATTATTATTCTGGAAACACCACATGCCGATATTCTAGGTTATCTGTCTTTTGAAAGCAGAGAAATTTAAAATGCAAATATTTTATATGTATAGAAAATAAATAACAGGTAGGGAAGTCTTTTTTCCAGGGTTTCTTAGTACTATGTCAGTTTTGCTTTTTCTTTAAGATGCTTGATAAGTCTTCAAAATTTCTAGCTGCTCACTCCGTAATACTAGGAGTCCAGAATGTCTGGTTTGTAGCAAATGCTTAGATGATTTCTTACTTTATTTCAGGTGTTTTGTTTCTGTTTTGTTTTTTAATTTTGCCAGTTCTGTAGCATCTTCTTTACCTACCAGTCACTATTTCCATTGCAGGCTACGTGTAGACTAAGAGAAAGAGGCTGTGATGGCCGCCTGGCGGGAATTGAAGTTCAGCAGCTCTTCTGTTCTCAAAGTGCAGCAATTCCTGAGCACCAGCTAAAAGAACTAAACATAAAAATCGACAGTGCTTTGCAAGTAAGTTTCTTAGAACTGGTACGTTGACGATACTTGAGGGATAGGAACAAGGGAGGGAATTAAAGTTGTGACATTGAACCATTTGGAAAGTGTAATAAGATAGTAGTTGGCCTTAAGTGTTTTAAAAACTTTAGAAATTTAAATTTTCTATTTTCATTGGCCTCTGTCACTTTATAATCTGTGTAAATCTTAATTCTTGAAAATGATTTCTTTGCAGGCATATAAAATAGCTCTGGAAAGCTTAGGCCACTGTGAATATGCAATGAAAGCTGGTTTCCACCTGAATCCAAAGGCAATTGAAGCCAGTTTGCAGGTATGCTTGTCTTGCTGTAGCTCCTGGGAGCTGTGGTGTGGCAGGTCGCCATACAAGTGAACTAAGTGTCTTGACAGATGAGCTGTGGGTCACCTCTTTTCTCCCATCCAAACCTTTTCCTGCAGGGCTGCTGCAGCGAGGCAGAAGCACAGCAGACAGGGCGGAGGCAGACGCCCCCACAGCCCATGCAGTGTGAGCTGCCCACTGTCCCGGTGCAGATCGGATCGCACTTCCTGAAGGGTGTCTCCTTCAACGAGTCAGCCGCCGACAATCTGAAACTTAAGACGGTAGTTTTCCATGGGGTTCCAACAACACGGGTGTGAACTTGAAAACAGAGTTGTTAAGGAAACCTGAGGGCTTGTAAAGAATATAGACTAAAAAACAAAACTGAAGCGAAGGCAGGAGGCATTCACCTTTGTCAGGAAACTGGTGTCTAATAGCAGACTATGGTAACTTTAATTTTTAGTGAGACACTTGCCAAGTTTTATTCATACTTTTGTTCAAATGTTCAACATCAAGGGTTTTGAAAGTACACTGTAAAATACTGGTGATGATTAATGTTTCAGTGGACTTCATGAATTTATTAAGAGGCAAAATCTTGTCATAATATGGCAGTGGTGATGACCATTTGTGGAGCATTGTGGGCCAGGCACTGTGCACTTCACAGGCATTGTTCCCTTTAATGCTCACCCATGAGCATAGCCTTTTCCCCACCAGAGAGACAGGAGCTAGGACCCAAGGTCACACAGCCAGAAAGTAGTAGACTGGAATCTGAGTTTATGCAGTCTGTTTTCAGAGCCTGCATACCTGACCACTTGGTCATCCAAAATAAAGTTGAGGTTTTCATTGGTATTCTACCAGATGATTTTGTCTCCTTATTTAGAGGGCTTTAGAATTCAAAATTCTTCAGCCAGTTTGCATTAGCAGATTGCTAAATAATGCTGTATCTTGTGCTAATATAGAAATACTATGTGTGTATTAATGTACGAGGTATGATCAAGAAATACAGTGAATGCTTAAATTTAAAAAATTTATTACAGTAAAAGATACATTGCCATTAATTCCCCTCAAAATACTCCCCCTCACTTTGAACACACTTATCCCATCATTCTTGCCACTTCTTGAAGTGGTTCTGGAAGTCCTCTTTCATGAGCGTCTTTAGTTGGGCTGTCGTGTCTGTCTCAATGTCCTGAATCGATTCAAAATGTTTACCTTTCATGGTCATTTTGACTTTGGGGAAGAGCCAGAAGTTGCACGGTGCCAGGTCCAGTGAATAGGTAGATGAGGACACGCCATAATGTTTTTATTTGACAGAAATTGCTGTACCAGAAAACCATGTGTGACATGGAGACTTTCCATTGTGATCACAAAATACGGTGAATGCTGCTGCCAGTGCCGTCCAATGAAAAGGCAGGGATCTTCAATATGGGAAGCGGCGCATTGAACCTTAGTAACAGTGTGTGACAAGTTTAAACTTGTTCAGTGCAGTCAGTTGAGTGTAAGCTACAGTTGACAGAAGGTGTGTTTTAAAGTGTGCTGTAAATCATCCTCCATCATGACAATGCTCCACATCACATATCACTTCTATATGGCAATTTCTATTAAAAAAAAAAAACATTACGGTGTGTCCTCATCCACCTTATTCACTGGATCTGGCACCATGCAACTTCTGGCTCTTCCCCAAAGTCAAAATGATTCAGGACATCCAGGTAGCCACCACAATGCAACTAAAGACACTCATGAAAGAGGACTTCTAGAACCGCTTCAGAAAGTGGTAAGAAGGATTGGATAAGTGTATTCGAAGCGAGGGATAGTATTTTGAGGGGCATTAATGGCAATGTGTCTTTTACTGTAATAAATTTTTTTTATTTAAACATTCACCATATTGTTTGATCACACCTCATATGTGTGTCTGTATCTAACCACTCACTCTATACAGGGTTGAGAAAAATCTCTGAGGGTGTCTGATAATAATTACTTAAGAAATTAAAATTTCATGATTTGGGGGTACTTAAAAACAAAATGCTTTTCTTTTAAGGACTATTGTGTACCTGTAAACGCATTTCAATCTACACATTTTAGCACTTTGTCTGACTTTATATTAAAGTGTGAACTCTCTTGCTCTCTATATGTAGCATACAATGTTACAACTGATCAAGGAGGCAGGTTGCTATAATGGCATCACACCAAGGGACGATTTTCCTGTGACTGAAGTACTGAACCAGGTGTGCCCATCCACATGGCGGGGCGCCTGCAAGACTGCCGTGCAGCTGCTGTTTGGCCAGGCTGGACTGGTGAGTGAACATGCGTGATGAATGAGAGAGAAAGTAGAGAGAGACGTTTCAAGCCTGTAAGGATGTGGTGTGGGCATGTGAAAATACTGAATAATTTTAAAAGTTCTTTGGTGCTACAGAGTTTAGACCAAATAGAAATGAAAAGGAAGAGCAGCATTCAGGTATCTTTCCTTTCTTCTCTTATAGATTGATAATATGTGTTGGCAGGGAACCTAGTTGCAAAATGATGTTGCAGGCTTTCCTCTTTTTAAGGAAACCGCTACATAAGTAATGATTTGATTACTTATGGGCCCCTTGACCTGACCTCTGGAGCTACAGTGGATGTCTTTTGGTTGCTCAAACATACAAATCTGTCTTAGGCCTTTGCACTTGATGCCCCTTTTACCTGAGAATATGCCTCTTTGATCATCACGTGACTCTCTCCTTCTCATCTTCCTAATGTCAGCTCACATACCTCCAGGAGACCTCAGCAGTATAAGTAATGGCCCCATCCAGTCACTTTGTAGCCCAGCTCTCTCTTGGGCTGCTTCTTAGCAATAAAATAGCAATACAAACTCAGAAATAAATTTAGAGAGAATAACTTTTGCCAAAGTTGGATGGGTTCAGGATATCAACATCTGAAATCACCGTTTAGCTTTTTGTTTGACCACTGACCCACGTTACTTTATGGATTTGATCCCACTTTCTAGAATTAAATGCTACTTTTTGAAAAGATACAGCATTTCAGTCAGAGGCTAAAGGAAGCTAATTAGAAATTAAGGAAATGGAAGAACTTTTTCTTTGTCTGATTTCTACTTTACTCAGGAAAGGAGTTGTTGGGAGGGTGCTATCCTTTTGTTTCATGTGGGTGAAGGCTCAGGTGGCCCAGCTCAAGGTGGTGCTGCCTTGTAGAAGGCCAGGTGAGGGCCTGTCCACAGTGGTGAGTTACACTTCCTTTAGGAACTGTTTCTTAGCATAGGAACCCTTAAGAGAGGCAGAAACTGGAGACTCTCTGCTGAAGCATGGAAGAGCCCACTGCCTCTGGGAGATTGATCCATACTCCCAAAGACCATTTTAGCTGAAACTAGGAGAACCATGCAAATCAGTTCTCCAGAAAGGACTGTGTAAAAGAAGACAAAAGAACACACAGGTTTTGAGAAAACATTGTAGCCTTCAAAAAACAGTTCCATGTTATTCAAAGATCAGAAACTTCTTCCTAGTTCCTACCCCTTGATCCCAGGGCACCTTTGTGTATGTGGCCAACAAAGAACCTTTAGATTATGGTCCTGGGGATGGGAGGAGAGAGGAAACACCTGCTTGGTCCAACAATGGGTATTGTTGGACAGGAAGTCTTTTCTAAAGGACGTTGCAGACCAGCTGTGGGAACTCTGTTTACAGTGATGGAAGTCAATTCCATTAGAGGCTGATTTTGGAATCATAATAAGCAACTCTGTGTGGCTTGACCCCTTCTGATACCTTACAGATCTGGTGCTAAAGTATTTATGATTATTTTCTTAAAGTTCTTTTAGTTACTTGAAAATATATTCACCACTTTGTCAAACTCTTTAAATTATGTAGTATACTATATCATCCGTGTAATAGTAAAGACTCCCCTTCAGATAGGAGGAGAGCATTGAAGGAAGGGTTGGTTCTTCGTCTTTCATGAAGTAGTTCTGTTTTTATTGATGGTTGAGGATAAAACGATCTTTAAAAAAAGCTTCATCCACTTCTGGCTTGTATTCAGTCATTACAAATGGGCTTTTCAAACCAAAAAGCATTGGTTTGAATTTTTAATGACATTTTTACTTCTTTCAAGTGCCCAAATTTAAAAAATATGAAGAAAAGGAAACAAAGTTATTCCTAACTAATATATTTATAGTTTGGAAGAAGTGCCACAAGTGCTTGTAAAGTTCAGTACATCCTGCACCCAGAAGTTGGTTTCTATTTATTGAAGAACCACTGCATTCAGTCATCTTTATTACTTGCTGTTATCTCCATGGGGCTCCCGACTGGCCTCTGCATAACTTCCCTGCTGGGGGAACAGTGCTTGCCAGGGTCACTCAGCACCGATAGGTTCAGGTATTGGATTTGTTTGTGATCATTTTCCTCTCTGAAAGCTGATTGTTGTTTTTGTTTCTTTCTTAGGTGGTAGTTGACACGGCACAGATAGAAAATAAAGAAGCCTATGCCCCCCAAATCAGTTTAGAAGGCTCCAGAATCGTGGTTCAAGTCCCGTCCACATGGTAATGTAACTCTTACATTAACACAGGCCTAAGCTCTGATAGAAGTTTGCACATCTTTGCAAGGATTGCTGTGTTTTGGACAAACCCCGTGCTAGCTGACAGGACATGTCTTCTGCTTGTGCGGGTTTATGGGTGGCAGTATGTCAGTGCCATGTGTCATGATTATCGGTCGGTCCATGATGAAGGGAAGCAAAGGTACCTGAAAAATAGTCTCATTGACCAATAATGTAACTAACATGTTATATACTCTTAACTCATAAAGAGCAATATTATCTTTTCTTTGTTACTATGTCCACAGCTTTTAAACAGAGTATATATCATTTTCTCTAAGTCACCCAGTGTTTCTATAAAGCTAAGTCCAGAACATAGAATTCCTTCCCCTCGTTTGTCTGTTCCAGCAACAACCCTGGTGTTAATTATATTTGTAAACTTATCATGGATAAAATATTCTTAATTTATTAAAACAAAACCTCCTACAAATCAATAAGAAAATGGGCAAGGTACATGAACAGGTAAATCAGAAAAGACATATGGTCAACAAATACATGAAGAAAACATGTAACCTTACCTAATAAAGAAAGGCAAAGTGAGGAAACAATACGATACCATTTTGCCCATCATGTTGTTCAATTAGTTTAGAATACTAATAGTAGGTTTGGACTAGACTATTTAAAAATAGGCACAGAAGTTGTTGAATAAATCACACGCCTTTCTGGAGGGCAGTTTGGTATATCAAAAGCCTAAAATACAGGCTATGACCTCAGCAGTTCACAGTTCTGCCTGTAGGGATTTATCCTGTTGATGTCCATACAGATTTAGCTACAAGGATCGATCGGTATTATAGCTTTATCAATAAACAGCAAAAATGAAGCATAATCGTATGTTGGAAGACTTGCTATTAAAATTATAATCTGAATGAATATTTAACTATATAGAAAATACTTAAAGCATTTAGGTGGGAAGAGAGAGGGGTAGTAAGGAACAGTGGCACTGTCGGTGCCTTTGTGGACTGAAATGGGAGCTGGGTAATGCATTCAAATTGTATTTAAACTGTTTGAAATATGAGGGTCCCTTGGTGGATTCTGCTACAAGTTTTAGAACTGGATGATATATCAAGCAGGGGTTGGCAGTTTACTTCATGTCCTAAAGCCTTCCTTCTGTGAGTCCCCCCCCAACTCCAAATTTTTTAATTTGATTCAGATGATATACTCTTTCCTGAAATGAATGGTCATTTATATACATATCTTCATTCCGATCAAACAATAAATTCACGGCTCACTTTTCTGTAAGATTTTTGTGTTCCTGAATTCTTAATTTGTTTTTCAATTCAAGTTCTTATTGAAAAATACTCAGTTTAACCCAGATTCTCATTTTGAAGAAAACAGTTTGAACTTTTGGATAACTGGGTGAATATAAACCGCTAGTACTGAAATGGTTAACACGTCAGTGTACTTTCAAAAAACTCTGTGTGATTGATTTCCTTTGTAATTCATTGCACCTCCATGAAAGAACTTCTGGACTGTGATTCCTTGGAAAGACTCCCTCTGCTGGTTGTTTTTGGTAAAAATACAGTTTTCTTTTTTGTTTGTTTCTTTCAAATTATAAAATATGTGCTTGTTGAGACAAATTCAAACAGAAGTGATTGCTTTACTTCATTCACCTTCAAGAAAATGAAATTATAGCAAAAATTATAGTCAAGAATTTCTTTCTTTGCTTTTAGTAAAATGCAGTGGTGCCCTGCTGCCAGATGTGTTTTTTTCTAAACTAAGTAATACTTAGATTTTTAAAGTGTCTTATTTAAGCAATCCATTCTTTCTTTCAACAGATACTTATTAAACACCTACTATGTGACAGACACTGTGGGCTCTGGGAACTTAACCATGAGCAAGACAGAGGGTCCCTGCCCCGAGCTGAGCTGACTGTAATGGGGAAGTGGGGGCAGAGCTAATAAGCATAAGAGTTAAGTTCAAACACTGGCAAGTGTATGAAGGGAATAAGAGTAGAATGATGTCATATGATAGAGAATAACTGGGGTAGAGATGGATAGGGGAGGCTATTTTGGATGAGGAGGTCAGTCATGAAGGGCCTCTTTGGAAATGTGACATTTAAGAGGAGCTGGCCATGCGGAGAGTAGATGGGGAAAGAAAGCATTGCAGGCAAAAGGAACAGCAAGGGCCGGAGGAGAACCAGCATGGCTGGAAGTATGGTAGGTAATGATGAAGGGGGTGGGGGAGGTCGTAGAGGCCAAGGCTTGCAGGGTCCTTAAGGGACTTGGATTTTTATTTAAGAACAGGCAGAGTTTTAAGCAAGTCTGAGTGATTTGTCAAAAGAATGGATTTAGTCTCGTAAGGGGATTTTATTGATCAGCTCTCAAGACTGATGAATAAAATAAAAGTGCTAATTTATTGATTTTCAGAAAGAGAAATTATTATCACCAGGAACTGTAGGACTCCTTTCTGCATGACCAGCAAATGCTCTCCTCGTGAACAAACATATGTGACCAGCCAAATCACAAGCAGAAGTTGGCTTCGGAGCATAGAGCAATGTGTCCTGATAATCAGGCACTCCAGGCTGAGAGAATCGGGTGCATGAACTTTGGCCGGGTCCACTGGCCAGAATTCTCTCCCAGGAGTCCAGGGGCTGGTTGGGCACTGTCAGAGTTTACCTTGTTGCCTGGTTCCCGAGGTTGGCCAGCTCACAACCTCACAGAGTTATTTCTTCTCAAGCTGAAGCCAATGTTGGGGGGGTGCTGCTGTCTTCTTAGGGTGGCTTCGCAAGTGTCGATCTCACCACTTAACTCCCAGAGTGCCCCAAACCAGACAGACAGTGTCTTTCTGGTTCTCTTTCTCAGAAAAGGCCTCCTGATGGCGGTGCCCTGAATGGGCAGTGGGAAGCAGTTCTCAAGGGAAGGCAGTCCGGGAGAAGGCCCCAATAGGAGCAGAGGTCTTGAGATGTGGGCAACCCCACCATATTCAGGGAGCGAGAGCAGGCCTCATAGCTGGGACAAGGTGAATGGAGGCGACAGTGACGAGAGGTGTGACCAAAGAGGTTGGGGGCCAGTCACAAAGAGCCTTGAGGGCTGTGGTGAGGGGTTTAGATTTTAGTTCACTCATGATTGGATGCCACTGGAGGGCTTTGAAAGGGAGTGATATGTTCTGTTTTATGATGTAGGAGGCTCACTCTGGCTGCTGTGTGGAGGGCGGGCCTTGGAGGGACCAGAGAGGAGAAAAGGAGACCAGTTGGGAGGTTGGTCCTGAGACACAGATGGTGGTTTCTTGGAGTAAACTGGTAATAAGAGAGATGGTAAGAAGTGCTTGGATGTAGACTATGTTTTAGAAGAAGAGCAGTCAGGATTTGCTTATAGATTACTGTAGGATGTGAGAAAGCTAGAGGTCGCTTGCAGGTTTGGGGTAGACAGCCGTGTTGTTTACTTATTGAAGAAGTCTGTAGGAATCACAGTGGGTTCTGGTGAGAAGAAGAGGAATCAAGGGTTGTGCTGACCCTTTGAACTGCCTGTTAGGTGTGCAAGGAGAGATGTCAAGTATGCAGTTAGACATATGAGGGCGGAGTTAAGGGGGAAGGTTTAGGCTGGTGAAGGTAATGTGAGTCTTCATTGTAGGGATAGTCTATGCAGGACCAGATGCAGCACTTTCAGGACAAAGGACAAAGCCTGAAACATGTCACCATACAGAGAGGTAGGGGAAAGAGGAGCAGAAGGAGTCTGCAGAGGAGGAAGAAAAGAGCTGCCAGCTAGGTAGGAGGAAAATTGAGCAAGTTTGGGGTCACCACAGCTGCAGAAGTCAGTGATCCAGGAAGAAAGAAACACTGCACAATGTTGCTGAGGGATTACGTGAGGTGGAGACAGGTCACTGGCCTTTGACTTTGGCAAGATCTAAGCTGTTTGACAAAAGCTATTTTAGTGGAGTTATGGAGATGAAAGCCCAGTCAGAGCTGGGTGAGGAGAAGAGAAGATAAGGCAGAGAGGAGACGATGCTTTTTGCTAAAATGGGGTATAGAACAATGGGGCAGTACCTGGAGAGGAGTGTAGGGCTAAGAGAAAGTGGTTGATGAGACTGATTTGTTGGCCAAAGGGAATAATATCACAGGGGAGAAATGGGGTGATTATGTGAGTAAGGTCCTTGGGAAAGTGAGGGGGTAGCATGCAGCACTCAGGTGGAGGTCAGCCTGTGGTAAGAGCAGCAGGGCCTGTCTCTGTCTTCCGCTGTGACAGGAGGGGTAGGTAGGGTGTGGGGGCAGGGACACAGGAGAGGAGGTGGAATTAGTGGTGAGGGGAAATGAAGTAGATGGCATCTGCTTATGTGTTTTCTCAATTAAGAGAGTTGAGGTAGGAAAGAACAGGGGAGGTGGTAGAGATAGCAGAGATTTGAGGAGAGGCGAGGATGGGTGAAGCAGTCATCTGGGAAAAGGAAAAAATTAATTTATGGGGAGGTCATATTTGTTCCTTACCTGAAATTTGCGGGGAATCCCGGTGGCAGACCGTTAGGGTTTTCCCCTCCATTGACCCTCAGTTTCTTGGGTAGAGGTGTGAAGAGCTGTAGAGAAAGGGGAGGGTCAGGGGCATCAAGGAAAGCGTTTACAAAGGAGTAGGTATTGTGCCAGACCACGGAATCTCAGCAGGGTAGAGAGGAAAGTCAGGGCCGGAGCTGGTTGTTGGACGCGAGAGGGCATTAGGGCCCCTGGAAGGCAGCCCCTCCACCAAACCCTTCTTTTCCTACCACATGGACTCTAGATAGTTAGAAATCCATGGACACCCCAGACCCTATTGCTTCCTCTTCCTTTTGCATAGCAACAAGTTCCTGCTAGCCCTGTCATTCTCTAAATGTTCTTATAATTACTAAATTTTTATTCAGTGCAAACGCAAATACAAACTGTAGCCTTTTGTATGAGGCCTGCTTGAAACATCCTTGCAGAGAAGTACAACCCAGACTAATGCAGCCTGGTTCGTGCCTAGGTGCCTGAAAGAAGACCCCGCGACCATGTCCCTGCTGCAGAGAAGCCTGGATCCCGAGAAGACCCTGGGTCTGGTGGACGTGCTCTACACGGCTGTCCTGGACCTCAACCGCTGGAGGGCAGGGAGGTGGGTATCCCCACCTGTCACTTGAATTGGTTTGCATTCAGGTCCACACCTAGGGACGGTATGGCCACACACAGTTTCATGTGTGCTCACGTCACTGATAGTATGTGAGTATATAACACAAGAAGGAGAACTTTTTGGTAACTTTTTATTTTGGAATCATTTCACTTATAGAAAAGTTGCAAGAATAGTGCAGCAAATTCCTCTGTGCCCTTTACCCAGACGCCCCAGTTTAACACTTTTTTGCCTTCATTTATCTTACCACTTGAGAGTAAGTCTGTCAAGAGGATTTTAACCCAACTCATATTCTCCTTATGAACTAAGAGCAGAGAAATGTTTAGAAAATTTACTTATATCCTACATGAACTTTGTATCTGAAAGTAGCTGACAGTTGCAGGATTATCCCTTTGTGAATTGTTAACCTCAGAACGGGAAGGAACCTTGAACATCTAGCCATGCATCCTCCCCTTTTCTTAACTCATGAGCACACAGAGACCCAGAACAGTGAGGTCGCACCAGCCATCAGCTCCTGCCCAAGTACCCTTTCTGTCTCTAGTGCTGTCTTCCAGACTGGAAAAGAGTGCTCGGGAAACTCTAAAAGTAACAACCATCTGTTCTTGGCACTGTCTGTAAATTACTTCAAAGGACAACAGTGCTGCTCAGTGTCCCTGAGTCCTGCCCACCCACCCCTCTTTGTTTCGTGGGTTTGTCCATTGTCCCTCTGCTGGATCTGCCAGGCTCTCAGCCCGTTCTCCAGGCACAAAGCAGACCCCTGGCAGTTAACATCCCCCACTCTAGCCATGCTTCACTTTCCTGTGCCGCGGTTACAGGGTTTTACTCAAACTCCTCAGGCCCCAATCCTAATGTCATTTTCATAGTCCTATGTTAGACACTAGATTTTAAAAAAATAATATAGATAATAAGTGCTTATTATGTACACTTAATTAAAACTTTTGGGTGTTCATTGAATAAAATAAGGGAGCCTAATACCACCCAGAGAGATCTTTTTCTGTTCTTAAAGTCTTTCTTAAACACAAAGAGATCCATTTCATTGTCTAATTTGTGTATTTGTCTTTTTGTTAAATACATTTCTGTTATTAGGGAACAGGCTCTACCCTGCATACAGATCCAGCTTCAAAGGGAGATCTGTGATTTTGGGAATCAGGCTGACCTGCCTCCTGGAAATGGAAACAAATCTTCAGGTGGCCTGCAGAAGACATTCTCCAAACTGACATCCCGGTTCACCAAGAAGGCTTCATGTACCAGCTCTAGCAGCAGCACAAATTATTCCATCCTCAGTACCCCTTCCAAAAACATCTTCATAGCTGGGTGTTCAGAAGAGAAAGCCAAAGTGCCCAGTAATATCGACTCAAGGTTACAGAGCATTTTGAACATTGGTAATTTCCCTAGGACTACAGACCCTTCGCAGTCAGCCCCGAGTTCCAGTAATCAAATGGCCAATGGTTTTCTCACGGAGAGGCATGACAGCTTTCTGCGAGGGGATGACAGCAAGGATGAGAAGGGTATGAACTTACCCACAGACCAGGAAATGCAGGAGGTGATAGACTTTCTCTCGGGCTTTAATATGGGCCAGTCACATCAGGGCTCTCCATTAGTGACGAGGCGTAATTCTGCTGCCGCAGCCATGGTGACTGAGCAGAAGGCAGGAGTCATGCAGCCACAGCAGCCACCACTGCCAGTGCCCCCTCCACCGCGGCCACCCCAGGCTGGGACGCACACACCTCTGACACCCCAGCCAGGCCTGGCACCCCAGCAGCAGTCCCCAAAGCAACAACAGCCCCAGGTCCAGTACTACCAACACCTGCTACAACCCATTGGACCGCAGCAGCCCCCGCCCCAGCCTCGGGCCCCTGGGAAATGGGTACATGGCTCATCCCAGCAGCTAGCACAGCCTGTTGGAGCAGGTCTGTCTCCTCTTGGCCAGTGGCCTGGCATCTCTGATCTCAGTTCCGACTTGTACAGCTTGGGTCTGGTGAGCAGCTATATGGATAATGTGATGTCAGAGGTGTTGGGACAGAAGCCACAGGGACCTAGAAATAACACGTGGCCAAACCGTGACCAAAATGAAGGAGTCTTTGGAATGTTGGGAGAGATTCTGCCTTTTGATCCTGCAGGTACGTGAGTCTCCGCTCCCCACCTTGGGGTTTTAACATAAATGTAATCACTGAGGACTTCATTGGACCGGTTTGCCACAGCCTTACTTGTGGGAGAAAGTGACTTTAAAGACCCTTTCTGACTGTCTCATGGTTAGTATGGGGCAGATCCAGCAAAGGCTGGAAGTAGTGAGAATGAGGCTGAGAAGGTAAGTGGAGCTCTCTTTCTCTGTACAAAGGACAGGATTAAGGCAGAAGAGAAGAAGTCACTTGAATGGCTCAAAGCCCCATAGTTCAGCTGGGCTCCAGTCTGGGCCCTCCATCCGTGGGAGCCAAGGCGGCTGGCCGTTGTAGGCCGCTTTGTTCCTGATTACATAACTTGTCCTGTGATTCTTTTTACCTAAACTCCAGGACCTATAGAAGGTGGTAGGGTACCCTCCTGCCTTCACAGAATATGACTTCTCCTGGCCTAGACAGTGTAGAAATACCACCAGACTTTTCTTAGGAAATTAGAAAAAGAACTTAGAAACAAAAATAAACTAGGAAGAGGGATGAATTATGGATAAAAAGCCAAAATTAAATTTAAGAGAAAAGGGCTGGCCGAGTGGCTCAGCTGGTTAACAGCTGGCTTAAGAGCACGAGCTCTGAGCAACAGGGCCGCAGGTTCAATTCCCACATGGGCCAGTGATACTGCGCCCAAGCTGAGCTGTTGCTGAGCTGTTGCTGAGCTGCCAACAGGTGGCTGGATGGTTCAGCTGGTGTAACAACAAGATTGCCTGTTTGATGGTGGGCTATGCCCACCCACAACTAAGACTGAACTCGGCAACTTGAGCTGAGCTGCTGCCCGGATGTCTCAGTGGATAGAGTGTGTGCTCTTAACAATAAGGCTGCTGGTTCGACTCCCGCATAGGATGGTGGCTACGCTCACACGCAACTAAGATTGAACTCGGCTCCTTGAGCTTAGAGGCCATGAGCTGCTGACAGGCAGCCAGATGGCAACTGGCGCCCTCCACAACAAAGACTGAAGAACAACACCTTGGCTGGTCCCCTTCCCCAATTCCCCAACACTGTTCCTCTCCCCCAATTCCCCAATAAAATCTTAAAAAAAAAAAATTAAAGAAAAATATAGTAGAAATTGTAAATCTAAAAGAAAGGTCTTCGGAAGACCAATAAAATAGATAAGTCAATCCATTGTAACAGCAAAGAGAAACAAGATTAGGAAAAAGGAAGGAGACATAACTACTACAGACATATAGGAGAGGTTACTACAGACAACTTGATGACAATACATTTGAAAACTGAATGGAAAATAGATTCTTTCCTAATAAAATATACATTACCAAAAGTGCACCAAGAAGTGGAAAACCTGCCTAGATCTATTTCAGAAGAGAATGGAAAGGTAATTATGAAGCCAACATGATTTTTACCATAAAA